GTATGCGCAGTCAACTTGATGCCGCGGTAGTTGGAGCAGTCCATTGCGTCGCCCTTCTGTTTGAAGATGGGGACGATGGTACTTGTCCTCCATGCATCCGGCATCTTTCCTTCCACTGTTACCTTGTTCAGGAAGCTGGTGAGCCACCTTATGCCGTACTCTCCGAGCGCCTTCCATGCCTCGATTGGCACCCCATCTGGGCCAACCGCCTTTCCAACCTTCATCCTCCCAAGTGCACACCTAACCTCATCCTTCCTCATCCTATCCCTCTACCTCCGTGCACCCTTTCTAGGCCTCTTCTATCACTGCCGACGTGGCCATTCAGATCACCTGCTATGGTCAGGTAATCGCCTTCCGGAACCGATCTTATGGCTTCGTCCAGGCTCAGATAGAACTCGTCCTTATCACTTTCGGGGCACCCGGCTTGCGGTGCGTACACGGAGAGTATTGTCCAGTACCCCTCCTTCGTGTCTATCCTCACAGCCATGATCCGATCGCTGATCCTGTTCACAGCGGAGACATAGTCCTTGAGCGACTCCGCTACCGCTATGGCCACGCCGTTCCGCTTGGTGTCTTCTCCATTGTAGTAGAGCTTGACACCTTCCCCGATTTCCCTGGCCTTAGCACCTTTCCATCGCGTCTCCTGAAGGCATAGGACTTGGATATTCCTGCGCGTCATCAGATCAGCAACCTCTCGGGACTTCCCAGTTAGCGATCCTACGTTCAGAGTCCAATTCGAACTAGCTTCTTTGGCCGAGGCCGTTCACTCCTCGGTAGCCCTCGCATACTGACCACAGAACTCGGGCGGGGGTTCTGCGCGCCACTTCCGGGTGACGTCCTAGCTTTATCACTGATTTTTCGACTTTAGACATATTTGTTGTGACTGGGGTCTTCATCAGCCGGCCTGTCAACCTGGGCCTGACGCTGGTACTAGAACCATTTTTGCAATTTTTGCAAGGCATGGTTTAGAGCCTCGGCAGGGATCGAACTCGCGGTTTTTCAGAGGTGCAGACATGAGTCTAACCTCTTAACCACTCGGCTATCCCTGCCTCTAGGACAGGAACCAACAAACAGATAATTTTCATGACGGGTGCAAAACGCACCTTTGCCATGACGTCATCCTTGATGATGTCACCTTCAAACTTAGCAAGGCATTTCAAACAAGTCGCTTTGGAGAAAGAACCTGTAAAAGAGTTTGAATAGAGGCCAGAAGATGGAACATGAGAGAAAGTTTGTCTTTTCAAAGGGGATGGATTATCGTAAAAATACTCACCATGACACTCAACAACCTTTCAATTTTTGCCTGCTTCTCAAGTGTGTCGATGTTTTGAGTGTAATTTCTCAAAAGCTGGTTGTTCACTTCAAGTTGGCGAATGAACTTGTGAGAATATTGACGGTTCAAATTGGCCAGGGAAAATCTCCTGAATATGAGGATCAGAAGTTTCGCGCAACTCACCATCGAAAAACAATAAAGCAGGGTAAGGCTGATGTCAGAGTCCGCGATCCTTTGCGCGATTTTCGCGATTTGCGCGCGACGGGTCACGGAAATCACAAGTGCCCCATCCATACTGCAAGGTGTTCTCCAATCCCGCCGTCACTTCTGCTTGATGGTTATGGTTTAATGGAGACTGCTCATGATTCCACTTGTTTCATATCCAGTGTTTCAATTGTTCAAATGGGGCACTTGCAATTTTTGTGATTGGTTTGGTTTGATTCCTGAAAAAAATAGGAACGATTCAAGAGCATTTCAATGAACTAATAGACATTGAACATGAAACAAGTAGAACCACAAACATTCGTCTTCCAATCTTTACTGCCAAGCAGAATTCGCAGCAGGATTAAACAACACCTCGCAGTATTCATCGGGCACTTCCAACTCCTGTGATCCATCGCAGGTTTCGCGAAAATCGCGATCGCAAAAATCGCAAAATCGCGCAAATCGCGAAAATCGCGAAGAGCGGATCGCGGACTCTGACACCAGCCCTATGGAGGCGATATTGCTATAATGCACAGAAAGTTACACAAGTTAGCACGAACTTCTTATGTTCAGTGAAAGGAGATTAGGAAAACGGATAAGTAGTTCGGTGACAACTGTGTGGCAACGTTCGAACAATCGGCCAGGAAGGAACTGAGGAAACTTGGCAAACGAGTTCGAGAGTGAGCAGTGACTTATGGAAGAGAAAATGAAGAGGAAAAGTGGCGGAGCGTAAGTAAAAAAGAAAAATTGAGAAACAGTAGGCATACCAGTATCCGGCTGGCGATAGGAACGTGGTGGTCGCTGAAAGGAAGTCTGGGACTCTCAAAGGCTTGAGAAATTACTCATGGCCGGCAAGTTTTCGGTTCAGACATCTGTACCTACTATAAAAAGTCCCAGACACAAAAGGATCAAGAAAACCATCAAGTTAGCGAACTAAGTGACGAATCTCACACAATAGAACCATGAAGAATGAGTTAAGGAAATTGGAACTCAAAGAGAGGGTTGCTGTTCATACGGACTGCTTCAAACGCGAAGAGAAAGAATTCTCAATGAAGAGGAGTAAAAGGTGAAAATGCACATTTGTTGGTTGGAGATCAGGCTTACCGAAGCAAAATCATAGAATGGAGCCGGATTGTGAATAAAATAACGAATATCGAACATCGCTGTAGGATCAGGAAGATCGGGAAGTCGACGTGAAGACGAGCATAAATACCTAACATGCAAATAATCAAATTCCTTGACGTACGTACTGATGAAAACAGAAAGTAAAAAGGATAGATCCTTCTTTGCTGATCCATCTTCTTAGTGGGCCAGGCAAATGACTTCAACTCAGAAGTCGTGGTAGCATTTGTTAGCGACACGGTCTATTCGCTGAATTGCGGAGGCCATTCGTTGCGAAAATAAGTGTTTTAACCTTTCTAAATCTCTGATGGAGTCCACATCTCAGACCTTCAACACCTCACCGCGAGAAGATGGAAGATTGATTAGCATGAGTGAGACCAGATACAGATCCTTACTTCGACCATGCGTACGATGGGCGGTGTCACTTGCCGCAACATAACCCCGCCCACTTCGGGAGCATATGGTGGATATCTGTGCCCACCATTTTACCAAATAAGGAAATGCAAGAAAGTGCATTCACGTCATTTTGTAGTAAAAATGCAAGAATTTGCAAGAGATTAAAAAAAAGGCTACAAAAAACTTAGGAGTGAAAGTACCATCTTTGCTTCGGAAATCAGGGATTCCACAGGAAACAGAAACTCCTGCACCGGTCAAAACGAGGATCCGCTTGCGAGTTCTGAAACAATGTCTACGATAGTTTCACACATTGTGTACAAACAATAAATAGACGTAAACAATGACAATATTGCTTACCTGAAAAGCTCCACAGCATCTTCAAATGTATTATACTGCGGAAGTTTACTCCTAGTTGGTGGACGATCCAGAATTTCCGTGAGGATTGACATAATCTTTAAAAAAGTATTAAACAGAATGTTGTTTATCATTTCTGGTCAACCACCAATTGGGCTGCATTAGAAAATTGGAAAAGAGGTTACACTGCAAGAAAAGAAACAGCAACGAAAGAAGCAACCTGTACTTAGTAAAAAAAAGAACTAGCTTAAGCATAAAGGGAACATAAGAATATGTTGTACCAAGTGTTCTGACCAGCCCTCTGGAGGCTCCTTGATCCTTGGATACAGGGCTTTGATCACGTCAACAGGCGTTGCACCCGCACTGAACATTGCCTCCATCCTCATCAGAGCATCTGATGAATTCTGAAACACAAACACTCTTCAATCTTACCCAGAGCACCCACAGTTACTTGTATTGTGTGCAAATGAAGGAGCTGCGCGAAGCACTACTCACCGGATTTCGCCAACATTCTGAGCCAACTGGAGAAGGAACATCAGCTCCGCCTCCTTCGTCCTCATTAGGGATCTCTAGACCACATATACCCAGCTTTGATGAAGAGACATTCTGCAAAAAAAGCTTTTGAAAAAGAAATTTGAAATACTTGCAAAAATTGACCGAAAACTGAACTGAACGATACCCAAAGTACCCAAACATGAGGATCAAGACGCAAGACAAACCTTAGCTCCTTCTTCAGGAGTTAATGTTGACAATTCAGATGTTGCATCGCAACATCCGTTTTCGCCCGTAGCATTGACCATTGAATTTACAGGCGCGAACCTTTTAATACATTAACTATACCTCGGGTAGACGTAGTAAGCAACAAATCAGCGTTGAAAAAAATATTCAGCAAAAATCAGCACAACATATACAGGTAAAAGCTTTGTCAGACATTCATTTAACAAAGTAATTTCACATCGAAGATATGCAGAGAAGGAAAAACGAAAGAGGTTACACTTCAAAAGCAAACTGAATCTTAGAATAAGTCAAAAGCATCTTAAAAGTCATGATAACCGTAGTTCCAATAGCTCTGAAAAAAGAAATCCAGGAGACAAGAGTAGTGAACGGAACATGGTAGGGAGCATTCAGATAATTCCGCAATATTCAATACTTCATTAGCACACTAAGAAAAAAAAGAAAATATTGAAG